GCGCCCCCGGCCTGTGCATGCCTCGTCCTATGCCGATGCTATTCGGGGGCGGCCGAGAGGGGGGTGATGAATAGGGGGGGCTGGATATCATGGCAGGGGCCATGATATCTCCCCAGATATCATGGCGTCTCTTTTTATTTCAATGCGTCCCAAGGCCCCGCTTGGGCCGCGCACGTGCCGCCGGCCATGATTTGCGCCCCCCCTTTTGGACGCCCCCCTCTTGGCCGCCCCCCAGCTATCCTCCGCCTCATCGCTCGTCCCGTCCTCCCTCGCCTCCTCCTCCTCTTCCTTGCTCTTCCTCCTGAAGTACCACGAGGACGCGCATCAAGGAACAGACTGCCTTTGGGGCACCCAGGGGTTCTTCGCCAGCGCGTCGCACGGTTGCCTCCGCGGCCGTTGAAGGAGCTGCTGCGCTTAGGGTGCTTCGGGATCGCCCCACGTGCATCTCGCGCTTGTAGGTTTCAGGGCTGGGTTTCTTGCGAGGGTTCCTTGCGGCCGCACACGCGCTGTATCACTCCTTCTCGGCGAGTGCAACTGGGTGCGGTTGCGCCAGGGTGCGGTTTGCGATCTTCATCGGTGGGGCTTGGGGGGCACCACGTTGCCCTCGTCGGGCCTCGGAGCACGGCGGAGAACTCCGTCGAGGTCCTCGCCCGCCCCCCGGCGTGCGGGCTGCAAGCCCGCACCTCTTGCAGGCCACACCCGTCGGAGTCGCTGGCCTCCGCCCTCTTCTCATCCTCGTCCCCCCTCGCCTCCTCCTCCTCTCCTCCGCCCTTCGCCCTGCCTGTGCCGTACCTCCTCCCTCGCCTCTCGCCTCCTCGTCGTCCTCCTTATTCGTCACTGGGGCTGATCACTCGAGCACTGCCTCCGTATCTGTTTTACCAGAATGCTGCATGAAACTCCTTGCTTTAATTAGGCCCACCTTGGCAGCTAGCTGGCTACTTGCTCGGTGCACATCAGTGATAGCTGTTGCCGGATCGAATGCTTTCCTCATGTTCCTCCTCTTCAGCCCTTCGTCAGAGTTAGGGGGGCGAAAGGTCATTCACTGTCCCTGGATTCGTTGCTGAAGTGGTGTTCCGCAGTGCAGACTGTTGTGGCGGTGTTGCTGCGTCGTTGGAGTCTCATTTCTGAAGGACAACTGTTGTTGATACCCCCTTCGGTGACTGTTACATTTTTTCATTCGAGGTGCCCCTCCGGTTTTCGCAACTTGTTGTTCATCAGGGAAAGCTTGATGTAACCAGACTGTGTAGTCGGCCCCTGGATTGCAACAACTGCGGCTCCCGCCTAACACTTGCTCATCATTTGTTTGAGGCTCTCTCGCGCGGGATTTCTTTTTTAACTTATGCAGGAATCGTGCTCACGGATGGTCAAGGAGTCAGGGGGCCGAACGATCAGTCTCTGTTCTTCGGTGCGTGGCTGGGATGGACTTCCGCGGTGCGGATTATTGTTGTCATTGTTGTTGTGGGCGTTGCTGCTGTCGTCGTCGTTGTTGTTATTGTTGCTGTTGGTGGTGTTGTGGTCATTGTGTTTTTACTGTTGTTGCTGTTAGTGGTGTTGTTGGTGTTGTTGTTGATGTTGTTGATGTTGCTGATGCTGTTGTTGTTAATGTTGTTGTTGCTGTTGTTGTTCATGTTGAACTCTCACTACGGAAGAATAATTACTGTTGATCCCTACCCTGCGGTGATCCTTGTGTTTCTTCAATTGAAGTGCTTCCCCTAGGGCTCGCACCCTTTTTTATCATGGAAAATCACGGGGCTCAAATTGGGCCCCTGGCCCCCCGTTTACAATATCAACGGCTCCCGCCTGATACTTCCGCACAATGTATTCCCGAGTCGTATTCTCGCGCGGGACTTCCTCACACTTCATGTACGCATCGCGCACTCGCGTGGGACTTCCTAACAATTTATTCCGACGATGCGCCCTGGGCACTCAGGAATCACGCTCTCGATTTGGCTTTTCATGCGATTTATTTGGGAAACGCGCTATCGCTCGAGACTTCCTTGCGATTCATGCAGGACCCACGCTTCAGCAACCCGCTTGCTCGACCTCGTCGTCTTGGCCCGCCTTCCCGACCTGCTCGCTATGGGTCTGCCCGTCCGATCTGTGCCCGTCTGGTTCTACCAGTTGGTTTCTGCTCCTTGCCCCCCTCCTGCTACTTTCTCTCGTGCTCCATCTTCTGCCTCCCCCTTCCACCCGTCCTCTCTTCCCTTGCTTTCGGGGTTTAGGGGCTGCAGTAGATGCACGTGGCAGGGAGGAAGATAAACCCCCAAGGGGGTACGATCGAAGACGACGAGGGTGGGTACCGATGTTTTCAGGTATACGTTTTGATTGGCACGTGAGCAGATAGGAGCGAACAGTCTTAAACTGATTGTTGTTATTGTTGTTGGTGTTGTTGCTGATACTGTTGCTGTCAGCAACAGCAACAACACCAACAACGTTCCCGCAGGTTTCCGGAGCCGCTGGGACTGCTCGGTGGTCATCGGGGCCATTCCGAGGCCCCCCAGAGGTCATAGGAGGCTGTCGGGTGCCTGTCATCATCGGCCGCGACGAGAAGACTCCCGCTCGATATTTCCTCGCGATGTACTCCAGGAGGCCCTGGCCAGAGAGGTTCCCGAACTCAGGAGCAGCGCTCTCGCTGGAGACTTCCTGGCAACTCAGTCATATTAGTGGAGGGGCAGCCGCGATGACAAGGGCTCCCGCTCGATGCTTCCTCGCGATTGGCTCCGAGAGGCCCTTTCTCGTGGTCCATCCTTCTCTTCCCCCTATATGTCCCCCCTTTCCCCTGTTTTAGGGGCTGCGGTAGTAAATGTGCGTGTCATGTAAGGAGGATCTACCCCCGAGGCATTACGGTCGAAGACAAAGAGGGCGGGCTTCGATGGTTTGGGATATACACGTTGCGTGGCACGCGATCGAATAAGAACAACTTGTCATAAACTGATTGTTGTTGTTGCTGTTGCCGTTGTTGTTGCTGTTGTTCTTGTTATTGTTGTTATTGTTGTTGTTGTTGTTGTTGTTGTTGTTGTTGTTGTTGTTGTTGTTGTTGTTGTTGTTATTGTTGTTGTTGGTGGTGGTGGTGGTGGTGGTGGTGGTGGTGGTGGTGGTGTTGTTGTTGTTGTTGTTGTTATTGTTGTTGTTGGTGGTGGTGGTGGTGTTGTTAATGTTGCTGTTGGTGGTGTCGTTGTCGTTGTCGCTGTTGCTGTTGCTGTTGCTGTTGTTGTTGTCGTCGTCATTGTTACTGCAGTTGTTGTGTTGGACACACTTCTTGCGAACAGTTTTCGCTGAGTTTTGGAATCGGTTCCGCGCGCTCTCGCCTCGACGCCGGCCGCAGTTCCCCTGACAAACCAGGCTACCGCTCGAGCTCGGGCCTGCGTGTAGACACGTGCCCTCGGAAGCCCGGCTACAACGACAACGGCTTCCGCTCGATACTTCCTCACAATGTGCCCCGAGACACCCTGGCCAGAGAGGCCTGATGGGCTTGTTTTCCACCACCACCACTGTAAGTTGGAGGGAGGAAGGAGGTGGAGAACGACGTGGAGGAGGAGGACGAAGAGGAGGACGAGGAGGAGCAGGAGGAGGAGGAGGAGCAGGAGCAGGAGGAGGAGGAGGAGGAGGAGGATGAGGAGGAGGAGGAGGAGGATCCCCTTCCCCTCCAATTTACAGTACGGTGGTGGTGGTGGAAAACAAGCCCATCAAGGCCCCCGAACTCAGGAACCCCGCTCCCGCTCCAGATTTGCTCGCAAGTCACTAGTCAAGTCGGCGGAGGCCCAGCCACGAAGACGAGGGCTCCTGCTCGATACTTCCTCACGCTTCACTTTGGGAGCCCCTGGCCAGGAAGGCCCCCGAACTCAGGGACGGCGCTGTCGCTCGAGATTTTCTCGTGATTCAGTGAAGCTATGGAGGCCCGACTACTGCGACTCTGGCTCTCGCTCGATCCCTGTCAAGATGTATTCCGACAGCCCCTGGCTAAAGAGGCCCCCGAACTCAAGTGTGGCGCTCTTGAAGAAATGTTCTCGTAATTCTGGCAAGTTGGCGGAGGCCCAGACACGGTGACAAGGGCTTCCGTTCGATATTTTCCAATATGTATGCCAAAAGCCCCTGGTTAGAGAGGCTCCGAATTCAGGAACGCCGTTCTCGGTCGAGAGTTCCTCTCACTTCAGTCAGTGACCGACAAAGAAAAATATCCCCCCGAAAGGGGGTGCAATCGAAGACGAAGTGGGCGGGTATCGAGGGTTGGGGTATACAGAATGCAAGACACGCGTGCCAGTAAGAGCGAACAGTCTTAAACTTATGGTTAGTATTGTTGTTGCTGCTGTTGTTGATGTTGTTGATGTTGTTGATGTTGTTTATGATGTTGTTGTTAATGTTACTATCAATGTTGTTGTTGTTGTTGTTGTTGTTGTTGTTGTTGTTGTTGTTGTTGTTGTTGTTGTTGTTGGTGGTGTTGTTGGTGTTGTTGGTGGTGTTGGTGTTGTTGTTGTTGTTGTTGTTGTTGTTGTTGTTGTTGTTGTTGTTGTTGTTGTTGTTGCTGTTGCTGTTGATGTTGTTATTGATTTGTCCGTATTGAAGAATAGTTATTGGAGATCCCCCCCCTCCGATGCACATTGATTTTTCAATTGAAGTGCCCCTCCCGGCGCTCGCACCTTGTTTTTCCCAACCCTCCTTGGTTGGGTATTCGTTTTGAATAGAGCAGTGTGGTCGCGTCCCTCCTCCCTCCCTTCCTCCTTTTCCCCTCCCGCCTCTTCCTGTCTTGCCCGCGGGGGGCTGCGATCTGTGAAACTGTCGCAATTTTCGAGGCCTGCTGGGGGGCCCAGCACAGTGAGGGCCACGGGCGGATCCAAATTAGACCTCGCCATCCCTGGGGGGCTGCGATCTGTGAAACTGTCGCCATTTTCGAGGCCTGCTGGGGGGCCCAGCACAGTGAGGGCCACGCGCGGATTCAAATTAGACCTCGCCATCCCTGGGGGGCTGCGATCTGCGAAACTGTCGCCATTTTCGAGGCCTGC